GAAGGAGAGCATGGGCAGGAGTCTGCACAGGGCAGCCACTAGGGTTTCGTGTGTGGGTGCAGAGGTTGGGCTGGGCTCTGGACCTGCCGAGGCCCTTGAAATCGGGGATACCGGAGCTGTGGGTCATAGCAAATCTTGGTCTCCTGAGTGCCGCCGATGGTTCTGCTTGGATCACATGCTATGGCAGGGGGTATTTTGGTTTTGGGGGGGGTGAGTAGACTGCCCACGTGGGAGAGGAGCAGTTTGGGGTAAGTGGGAAATCTAGAGCATCTGACGGCACGGAGGCTGGGCAGCCAGTGAGACGTACACACGTGTACCGCGTGCTGTGTGCTCCCATGGCAGCTGGGCTTGGTGGCCGTGAGCGTGATGCTGTGTGATGGCCCACTGGCAGGTGAGATGGCGGACGAGGTCCTACAGCCCCTGCCAAACCAGAGGACCTTGGTGCTACTGGAAAGAGCTTGAGTTTTGGAGTCAGACAGGTGGGTTGGAAGCCTGGCTCTATCAGCCTCCTGTTAGGTGACTTTAGGTGAGTTATGCTCTCCAAGCCTCAGTTTCCTCATCTGTCAGATGGGATAGTGGTGGCTCTGACATCAAGACTATTGTGATTGATAAAAGTAGGGTGGGGCGGATGGTGGGGCAGTGGTAAAAGGCAATGTTCCATGAGGCCGACCTGTATGAGAAAGTTCTAGTTTTGCATCCAGAGACCTCCCTGACTACAAGGGTACAGGCGTGCCCGTGATCTGGGGGTGGAGTGTAATATTAGGACCCTGCTGGGGTGCTATCTCTTTCTCTTTGTCTCTCTCTGTCTTTCTTGGCCATAAAAACAAAAACAAAAACGAAAACAACAACAAAAAAACAATCAAAAAACAGCTTAAAAAAATAAATAAAAATAAGCTGTAGTCACAGTTGGTCTCTTCTTACTTCATCCCCTCTCCTGGTCCCTCTGACTTGTCCGTCCTTAGCCCCAGAGCTATGGCTGAGCCACCGTTGAGGTTCTTGCTCCTCTCTCCCTTCCCTTTTTGCTCCCAGCAGCTATGGCTTGGGGAGTTGCCTGCCCTGGGGAAGCTGGGAGAGGCTACTGTGTGCCTGAGGCCACTCTGGCAGCCCGTCTTGGCCTCTGCGGCCTCCAGGAGGCTGGGTTCTTGGCCCACCGGGTTGAGACAGTGAACGAGCCGGTCAGTATCAGCAGCTCTCCTGTGACAAGGCTCTCGCCCTGGGAGCATTTCCTAGATTCCATATCTAGACCCCGTGTTCTAGTGACCCTCGTCACTGCCTGTCCTGGTATTAATAGACTCATGGTTAAGAAATGGGAGGCGGGGCAACTGAACCTGGCTGTTCCCATCAGTATCTCTGTGGAGCTCTGATGCCCAGCACGTCTGTCCCTTCACCCACACCTGCTGGGGAGGGCATAGCTTGCGGCTGACCTTCCAACTCCCAGCTCAAGGAGGGTGATATCTCTTCCCCTGAGACCTCTGCCGCTGCCCCATGGGCTTTCAGTGAGCTGTGCATGGAGCCTTCAGCACCTTTTAATATCTTTTTGACAGAATGTATGTGCACCCACGTGAGAGAGAGAGCGAAGCACCTCCACAGGGTCTGTCACACTGATCACCTTCCTCCAGTCCTCTACTGTGGGTCACGGGCATGTGCATGTGTGCCTGGTGTGTTTTAGTCTGGTCAGGCGGGGATTCGAGCCTGTGGTTGCCCTGTGGGATCCTGCTTTTTTGAACAGCACATCTCTACTGCACTGGGGCCAGCTCTACAGCCCCTTTATTTATTTATTTATTTTTAAAACTTGCTATAGGGAATGTGCACCTGCAAGGTGGATGGCCATATTGCAATCCCTTCTCTATTTTCCTCTCGGGATTGTGGACATGCATGCACACGTGCCTGGTGTGTTTTCTTAGGCTGCCGGATCTGGGACTTGAACTGGAGCTATGTGGGGTCCAGCCACCCAGCCATGTGGGATCCAGCCACCACACCATTGGTCAACCCTTACTATGGCACCTTTTTATCTCTATCTTTAGAAAAAAAAAGTTTGCCTATATGTGCTCACCAGAGAGAGGGAAAGGGAAAGAACAACCCTCCCGATGGTGTGTGTAACTCCACAATCCCTTCTCCATCTTAACATCCTGTTGGGATTTTGGACACTTAAACCTGTGTACCTGATGTGTTTTTTAAGCCACTTGGGCCAGGATTCGAACTATGCATTTGGCCATGTAGTATCTGACTCCCTCAACCACTAGGTTAAGGGCTGATCCCAGCACCTTCTTAAAGATAGGAGATCTTTTAGGTGGTCTTGGGAAAACTATCCACTGCTCCTCTTAGTTTTCTTTCTTTCTTTCTTTCTTTTTTTTTTTTTTTTTTTATTAAAGGGGTTTTTGTTTTGTTTTGTTTTGTTTTTTGACAGGGTCTTGCTGTGTCACAGTCCTCCTGCCTCACTTTCCCGGCAGGAACCACAGGTGCATACCAACACGCCCAGCTCTTTTTTAGCCTGGGTCTCACTGTGTTGCCCAGGCAGGCTTCATGCTTGCACTCTTCCTGCCTCAGCTTCCTGGGTCAGTGGAATTACAGGTGTATGCCACCCCACTCACCCTCTAGGTTAGCCTGGGAGTGGAGCCAGGCCCTCCCATGTGGTCCCAGCCTGTGGAGCGCAGTGTCTTAGCAGTTGGGCCACAGCTCAGATCTGGGTACCTGATCGTAAAGGTGCTGCTAACCACCATTTGCAGCCCACCTGCCAAGTGCTAGGCCCTGTGTTGAGCAGAGGTCGTTCAGAAGACCAGAAGTTAAAATACGTGACTGTATAGGAGGGGCTGGGTAGTTGGGGGGGGGGCTCAGGAAAACAAAAACAAAAACAAAAACATTGAACAGACTTGAAAATGGAAAGTTTTCTGTTGAGGTTGATGGACTTGGTTGTCAGGAAAGTCCTGACATATTTTTCTGTGCAAAAATGCACCATGACTTTCCCCATGACCCAGTATCTTTGACTTGAATGGGGTGCACTGCATACATGCTTTGGAGAACCATACCATATGCTATAAAGATATATAACGATTGGGAACCAGCAGTTAGCGTAATGGCTATGTCACTGAACTCCCACGTAGTTGACTGCGGTTCGCATCCCGGACCCGGTGGCTTAAAACTCACGCCGGGCGCGTGTGTGTGCGTGCCCAAGATCCCGAGAGGAGAATGGAGGAGAAGGGAATGCAGTGTGGCCATCCCCCCGGGGATGCTTTCTCGCTTTCTGTCTCTATGTTCTCTCTCTGTCTGTCTGGCGAGCGCACGCCCCCTATAGTGAAAAAAAAAAAAAAAAACCTCTCCAAAAAAAAAAGATATATAACGATTAAATGTAAATAAAAAATTTAAAAAAAAGTACTTGACTCAGGGCAAGCAGGTGGTGTAGTGGTTAAGGCACTGGATTCCTACATAGTTAGCTGTGGTTCAAGTCCTGGACCCAGCGACTTGAAACTCACACTGGGCACATGTGTGCATGCCCCAAATCCCAAGAGGAGAATGGAGAAGGGATTTCGATGTGGCCATCCCCCCTGGGATGTGATTTCTCGCTTTCTTTCTCTCTGTCTCTTGCTGTCTCTCTGGTGAGCGCACATGCTCTGCAGTGCAAATCTTTATCTAAAAACAGAATACCTGACTCAGACTCCAACCTGCAGGAGGAGCAGGGGCAGTAGGGCCTCCTGGAACCAAGAACACAACTCCTACTTCCCCTGCCCTCCATTTCTGGTCCTTGCTTCTCTCAGCTGGGATGAGGGCTCCATTTTTTTCAAATGTTTGCAGAAGCGGGATTCCCTGGGGCTGTTTCTGCCTCTTATCTCACAGTTGTGCCAACACACAGTTCTGACTCTTCTCACTCCCAGCTCAGAGGGTCCCTGGCAAGTTTCAGATTGCCTGTGCCTAGCTCGGAGCCCAGGGGACCCAGCATCTCCTGGAGCTGCACGTAGGTGTGTGTGTGTGGGGATACAGAGAGGCCAGAGGCCTCATCCTTTGTGGAATGGCCCTCAGGCCTAGCAGTGGGTTGACCCACAGGGAGGTGGGTCTCTCTGTAGCAGGTGGGAAAGCTGAGGCCTAGATTCCTGAGGCGGCTAATCCTGGACAGTCTGTTAGTAAGTGCAGTGCTGGGACTGGAATCAGGACTGTCCCGTTTCTGTGCAGGTGGAAGGCTCCGAGCAGGGCTGTGGGGTAGAAATGCTGAAGTTGGCCAGGGAGGGACTGGTGGAAGTCTAGTAAGGAATCTAATGCTGTAGAGTGTATATACTAGCCAGAGAGAGAGAGAGAGAGAGAGAGAGAGAGAGAGAGAGAGAGACACAGAGTGAGAGGGGGAAGTGAGAAATCACCCGCCGGGGGAATGGCCACGAAACAACCCCTTCTCCTCCATTCTCTTCTCAGGAAGAGGTACAGGTGAGTGTGGGTGGTCCGGAGCCCCCTCAGAGCATGCACACACAAGCTCCTAGTGTGATTTTGAAGCCACCCGGTGTAGGACCTGAACCATGGAGTAGGCTATGTGGGATCCAACTGCTTTAGCTTCCATGCCACCTGCTGCCCCCCCCACTTTTCGTTTTGCAAAGTTGATGTATTTGTTTCATGAGCCAGAAAGACAGCACCCGCCTGGGGTCTTGATGTTGCTATCCACCCCCAACCCCAGCCAGCCTGGGTCACAGCTCAGGTGTGCCCAGCTTTCTCAGGAGCAAATCTGGATGTGAACAAGGGACCTTCCCACGTGGTTCAGCTCCACAGTGCTGTGTCTCACCCCTGCACCACCACCCGGCCCGAAAACTCCTTCGTGGGACGGCCCTCAGGCCTTGCAGTGGTTGGCCTTGTCCTTTCTTCCTGCTACGCTTTTTCGTATGGGACCTGCTTTAGCTTGTCTGTTGCTCGTGATGTCTGTAAGTCTGTCGTAAGGCGTCTAGAACAATAATTTGCTGAATGTCTTTCTGCTTTTTACAACGCAGAACTAAATGATCTTCTTTCCTTGTTGATCTTGGTTTCAGCATCTATGTCGTGGGCTTGGTCCTGGAGTGGATTAAGAACAACGGAGGGGCAGCAGCCATGGAGAAGCTGAGCTCCATCAAATCTCAAATGATTTATGAGATTATTGATAACTCTCAAGGATTCTACGTGTAAGTTCATGGATTAGATCTCCCGTTTGTTTTTGCCTCTTGTAATTGAAAACTGTGTGTACGGTGTGCCTGTGTAAAGCGGACCTGAGACATTGAGGTGCTGGTGAGTGTGGGTGGTTCGGAGCCCCGTCAGGCAGGGGTAATGGGTAGGGAGAAGGTGAGTTCTACCTCCTGTCTCCCACCTCAGGGTTCCCAGTGTTTGGGATCTGTGTCCCAAAGGGCGATGACATATTTTACACTGAAAACATCACTCTGAAGAAGAATCTCCATTTACCCGTGGGAGTCTCCATGTCCCCTTCTTCCTCTGGGTATCGCCTGGAGAAAACACTTGCAGGAAGCTCTCAACTTTACCTAAGACCTCCCGTAGGAGAGCCTTGGTGTAGACCCTACTGCGGCCCCCTTCTCCTTTGCAGAAAGGTTCACTGCTTCCTTGCTATGAGACAGAAGCGCCCACCTAGGCTTGCAGTCTGTGAATGCAATTGGCCACCCACGGGTTGGTGCCTACCTAAGTACTTCTATGACTGAATAATTAATAATTGCATCTCAACCACTGGAACAGCACCCGTGGAGGCTGCAGAAAATGCATGGGTCTTGTAGTAGCATCCTAGGGCTGCCGTAACGAATGTGGTGGCTTAAATCAACCAAAATGTATTCTCACCATTCTGGAGGTCAGAATGTCAAAATCAAGGTGTCAGCCGGACTTTGCTCTCTCTGGAGACTCTAGGGAAGAATTGGTTTCTTGCCTCTTATGGTTTCTGGCGACACTAGGTGGCCCTTGATTTGTGTGGTAGACAGAACACCTTGATTCTGCTTAGACTTGCATTTTTAGCCAGGGCTTGCTAACACATGTCTACAGCCACCTGGGGGTGGAGGGGTGAGGTGTCTTGGAAATCCAGGATAAAACAACTTGCAGGACCAGCAGATGGTATAGTGGTTGCATTGCTGGACTCCCACATGGCCAACTGTGGTTTAAATCCCAGACCTGGTGGCTTAAAGCTCATGCTGGGCGTGTGTGCATGCGTTCCCAAAATCCCAAGAGGAGAATGGAGGAGAAGGGATTGCAGCGTGCCCATCCCCGCCCACTGGGGGCGGGGGGTGATTTCTCGCTTTCTGTCTGACTCTCTCTTTCTCTCTGGTGAGCCCTATAGCAAAAATCTCCCTAAAAAAAAAAGAAAATGAAAGCAGCTTGCCTTAAAATGCTATTGGTGCCCCAGGAGTGCTTGGCATGCAGTGGCTCTCTGGCTGTAAGCCCCGGGGGAGCCAGGCTTGGCTGGATGCCTTGACCTTTGGGGTCCCTTCCCTCCAGTCATCCGGGGGCAGGGATGCACATTGTACTTTGCTGCCTGCTCTGTGGTTCTCTGCACCGGAGAGTGGGTGCAGGCTGGGGCTGGGTCCTGGGGAAGCTCCCACTCTGCACCGTGCTGTGGGAGTGGGGAGGCTAACATACCCTGCTGATGCTTCCTGGACCCATGCTGGTATGCACAGCTAGCGGGAGTTGGTCCAAGGAGTCCAGAGCCAAGGGCTGGAGAACTTGGCGTGAGCATGGGGAGGGGGTTTGAAATGAGGGAGGGCTTTTAGATCAGCAGATGCCTTGGATGTGAACTGAGTGATGCACAGACCACCTGCCCAAGGACACTGAGGGAAGAAAGTACTCTGTGTTTAGGGAGAGAAAGTGGGCTGCTTGGGACCAGCATGTAGCATGCTGGTTAAAGACACTAGACTCCTACGTAACTGACCACAGCTCAAGTCCTGGACCTGGCAGCTTGCTTTTTCACTTTCATGTGCTCTCTCTCTGGTGAGTGCACATACCCTGTACCTATAGCAAATTAAAAATAATAATAGTAAATAAGTATTAAATAATTCTAAGAAAAAACATAAAAAGAAGAAAATGGGCTGCTTGGAGGGTATAGCTATGCCGGGGATTGCAAAGATTATGGAAAGGTCTAAGGATGTGTTTAGTCTGTTACTATCTACCCAGGCAGGCAGGCAGCCAGGCAGCCAGCCAGCCGCCCACAAATCTATCCACCCACCCATACATCCACCCACCCACCCACCAGTTCATTTATCCATCCATCCATCCATCCATCCATCCATCCACCCACCCTTCCATCCATCCACCAGTCCGGTGGCTCCTGAGTGTACCCACTCTGGGCCAACCTTGTTCTAGGCTCCTGAGATACTCAGAAGAATGTCATCTTCTCTGGCTCCCGAAAAGTGCTCAGAACCTGAATGTGAGTTAAAGAACTTGGCCCCCAAAGAGCTTGGAGGGGAGACCAATTTTCCTGCTAGCATTTGGCTTCCTGTCTTTCTCAGGAGATATAAGAAAAAGGGCATGCAGTTCAAGGTAAGAAAAATATGGTGATACCGCTGGAATAAAATACCTAAGGAATTAGAAACAAAGAAACAAAGCTTAGAAGGAATCCTAGGAATCTCTTGAATTTTCTCCCACCCCCGAAGTCCTTTTTTTTAGAGAGATATTTGCTATAGGGTACGTACACTCATCAGAGAGACAGAGAAAGAGAGACAGAAAGCAAGAAATCACCCCCCAGCGGGGATGGTCATGCTGGAATCCCTTCTCCAGGCTCCTCTCGGGGTCTTTGGCACACACACACATGCACCCAGTGTGAGTTTTAAGCTTCTGGGTCTGAGACTTGAACCATGGTCCACTACGTGGGAGTCCAGCAATGTAACCATTCCACCATCTGCTGGTCCCATCCCAAATCCTTTAGCTCCAAGACCCCAATCTAGGCCCTTCCTGGAAGGCAGCCTGTGAGCTAATGGGCAGGCAGGTCATCTCCTGGAGAGTCTGACACGCTTGTACCAACTCCTCACTCACTTCTGAATGGCCTTGACTCCGGCCTTGCGTCCTCTTCACAATAAACTGGTTTGGGTAGTCTGTCCCCTTTTTGGCCGCCTGCCTAGAAAACGTCATCCAGGCTCTTGAGGTCCCATGGGACCTTGTTACTCAAATCAAGAGACTTAGCTCTGCCTCTGTTTACAGCTGGAGGCTCACTAAGGGGTCCGGTACTCACTTGGGTTTCAGGGAATTCTGTACTTTTCTTTCAAACTTTGGAAATGATTCGGTAAATTGGCCCCAGAGGGGCAGTGGGCAGTTTTAAGAAGAATACCGAGAAACTTGGGATTGGAATTTGCAGTTTACCAGCAACTTTGCCCTTGTTTCTGTCCCAGAGGAGATGCACTCCTCCCCCACCCCTCCGATTCGTAGGATAGCCCCTCCGTGGGGCACAGTTCCAGGCAGTTTGCTGCAGGTCACACCAGCCCTGCCAGTGATCCTGGCAAGGAAGTCTGAGGCTAGATTAGATAGCTGTCAAAGCCCCCGAGTTCATGCCATGGCCTCGGCACCCATGTGGCGCTGGCTGTCCCTGAGCTGAGCCCACGTGGGCAAGTGTCACGTCGTGCAGCAGCTGGGCTTTCTCACTTACTAGCCTGTGACCGTGGGCAAGTGGCCCGACTGCCCAGGCTCAGGTTTCTGCTCTGTACAGTGGACACGGTAAGGTGCCAGCTGCTTCTGTCTTGTGAGGACCAAGTGGGAACGTGCATAACTGAAGGCTAATGTAGGGGTTGAGGGCAGAGCCGCGTGTGCTGGCTACTTTATATAAGGCACCAGAAAGCGTTTGGCATATAGCAGTCGGCATTCTGGATGTGTTAGCTCTTTTTGTTTTTAATTGCCAGAGGGCCTGTGTGTTTGCCAGAGAAAGAGAGAGGGAGAAAGCGCCCTCCCTTATGCTGCAGTTCCTTTTCCATTTCACTGTTTTGTCAGGATTTGGGGCACATCCGTACACACGACTGCCATAGCTTTTCAAGCTCTGGGGGCTGGGATTTGAACTGTGGCCTCCCATGTGGGATCCAGCTCCCTTAATCTCAAGGCTATCAGGTTGGTTGTTTTAGCTTTTCGTGGTTATTACGTAAGTAATTAGGATGTTCCCAACACACAAGATTTAACATACAATGGTCTTCAGAAAGTTGGTGAAAAATGTGAATTAGGGAACAACCGCCTGGATTTCTTTTTTTTCTTATAAGTAATTTATTATGAGATAATTTATAAATATCTTGCTGGGTTTGTTTGTTTGTATTTTGGAGAAGTTTTTGCTATAGGGTGCATGTGCTCACCAGAAAGACAGAGAAAAACAGAAAGTGAGAGACCACTCCTCGGGGGATGGCCATGCCGCAATCCCTTCTCCTCCATTCTCCTCTCGGTATCTTGGGCACGCACGCACACACACCCAGTGTGAGTTTAAGCCACCGGGTCCGGGACTTGAACCGTGGTTGACTACATGGGAGTTCCGCGACATAGCCATTACGCTAACTGCTGGTCCTACATCTTGCTGTTTTTAATCATTCCAACAGTGGACCAACATAGCAAGTGTGCTAAAACCCAAATCAACTGGCTGAATTTTTCTTTCTTACCTCTTGTCTGATGGTGAAACTTGATTTTCATTAACCTAGAGCTGCAGCACCAGAGGCCATTTCAGTCAGCTCTTTCGTGTTGACAGCGTGGTGGGTGCAGCTGAATGTCAAAGTCAGTTTGCCAGTCATCTCAGAAGGGTTCTTGCTGGCCTTGTCCCATAGCGGTTACCCCAGCACCCTGCTCACGGTTGGTGAACTCCTTCAGAAAGCAGCAGATGGTGTTGGCCAGGTGCGTTCTGGGAAACTCTGGCACGACAGCATCAATGCCGTCGTTGATACTCAGGCTTACAGCACTCAAAACCGCATGGATATCGACATTTTTTTTGTACCAATATAAACTTGGACTTTATTTCCATTGTCCATGAGCCTTTTGAAGTCTCCTCATATAATGGATACTAATTTTACTATGTAAGAATGTTGAGCTGTGTCTGTAGCCGAGTGGTTGAAGCAGCTGGACGTGCTGTGTGGTCACGTCCCAGACTCAGTGGCTTGAGAAGCACAGTGGGCATATTTCGTATGTGCTCAAGATCCCAAAAGGAGGGAGACGTGGAGAAGGGATTGCCATGTGACCA